CATTTCTTCAAATTTGTCTGTCTCAATCTTCAGCGCCCCACACCCAAGGACAATTATCACGTTCGCGTCGGTGACAGCTGTAACTTCAATTATGCGCAACTTGATAAGCTCATATCAGTACTGTAAATTATTGAGAATTCCGATACAAGTCTTTTTTCTTTTTGGACCAACTTTTATTTATATAGGGTGCCTGGGAGACTGGGACATAATGTGTCTAAAACCTTTTAACTTATATCAAGCAAACAGTCAAAAGGCAACCCTCATAATTGAGAAGAATTACTGTACATTTGTCAGATCGAACTTCAAATTACATTTCAAATTTATTTTATAATAACAAGTGATGCAAATTGCACAACTTTGCACATTTCTTCAAATTTCTCTGTCTCAATCTTCAGCGCCAGACACCCAAGGACAATTATCACGTTCGCGTCGGTGACAGCTGTAACTTCAATTATGCGCAACTTGATAAGCTCATATCAGTACTGTAAAGGCAAAAATATGACATAAAGACCCAAACTTACACCAAATTCATAATTTCGGACTCAAACTTCGATTGCACTCAATGAAGGTCCCAAACTCCAAGAAATTCTCAAATAAGGTCCCAATTGACGGAAAACTAACTTCCGTCAAATCTCTTATTATTCCGTTAATGTTCCGTCACATTTCACACCCGCCACTTGAAAAAAATTGGTTAAATGCTAATTTTGATCCCTCAACTTCATTGAATTTCACTTTTTTGTCCCTCAACTTCATTAAATTTCACTTTTTGTCCCTTAACTTCATTAAATTGCACTTTTTTATCCTTCAACTTTATTAAGCTATCTTTTTTGGTCTTTAAACTATTTTTTGCACTTTTTTGGTCCTTAAATTATTTTTTGCACTTTTTTTATCCTTTAACTTTAACAACTGCACAATTTTGATACTTTCGTCAGTTTAAACCGTTAACTTTATTTGTGGCATTTTTTTATATTTTTTTGATAACATGTATAACTAATTGGAAAAAATAATAACATAAATTATCTAACTAGAAATAATGATGACATAGATAAATAAAATAATATATAAATAAATTTTTATATTTTTAATAAAAATAAAAAAACCTCTCCACCTATTTTCTTCCCCCGCTAGAAGAAAAAGAAAGAAAGAGAGGGAAGAAAATAGGTAGAGAGGTTTTTATATTTTTTTATAAAAAATATAAAAATTTATCTACATATTATTTTATTTATCCATATTATCATTTTTTTCCAGTTAT